ATTTAAATGGTTTTGTAACTATCACATATTTACAACATACTTTTTATATTTCATTAAATCCAGCTTAAATAATTTATTATTATTATTATTATTTATTATTATCTATTATTATTATTATTATTGTTGTTGTTGTGTTGTTGTTGTTGTTGCTGTTATTATTTTGATACAGCATTTTCTGTCCCTCCATGATAATTTTGAATGAATAATATGCCACGAATTCAATCAAGCTGCATCTTTCAACTTTTCTTCCTATATTAGAGGATGTCTAATACTAACGCGGCCCTGCATTTTTCATAACTGTTTTCTTTTAATTTTAAAGAATGTGCATGTATTTCTTGTGCTTTTGTAAATGATACAACTTGTGATGATGGTAGTGCCTAATAAGAAAACCCCTTCATCAACGAACCTTCTAATGCTGCCATACCCATGTGTTCACTGATGCGTGTACTTGCTCTAATGTTGAATGTGAAGGAGAGGGCTGGTATTGATCAGAATGCGCACCCTTTTAGTAAATAATTTAGACATATTAAGATAGTTTAATAATAACGATCTGATTACTTAAACGAGCGAAAATTATCAAACGTTCTCAGAAGTAAAAGTCATTTGTTAAAGAACTATTGTATATTTTGTTACTGCAAGGAAAGGAACAGGAAATCCAGCTAATGTTTTTCTTAAAAATGGCAATCACCATACAAAATGTAGCGGTCACCTGAGACATCTGCCTGGCTGCCTCTCAATAGCACAGTACAGCTGCTGCGACACCAATCTCTGCAAGAGGGCGAGAACAGATTGTGAATGTTTGAAGGCGGGGTACAGCGAATTCATACGAGAAGATAAAGAAGAGGAAGGGCAGTGGAAGGGAAGAGGGACAAGAAAGGAAAAGGAAAAAAAAAAAGCGGGAAAGGGGAAAGAAAGGGGGCAAAAAGGGGGGGGAAAAAGGGATTTTTTTTAAGGATAAGAGGGCATGAGGATAAGGATACAGAGGGCAATGAGGCTAAGGATAAGAGGGCAAGAGGATTAAGGAGGAGAGGGCAATGAGGATAAGGAGGAGAGGGCAAGGAGGATTAAGGAGGAGAGGGCAAGGAGGATAAGGAGGAGAGGGCAAGGAGGTTAAAGACGAAGAGGGGCAAGAGGATAAGGAGGAAGAGGGAGAGTGCTAGTAGAGGAAGCGGTGACGCGAAGGAAATCAGGAGAAGGGAAAGAGGAAGCGAGACAAAGATGTTAAATGAAGGCCAGGAATGAAATAATAAGCATTAGATTATGAAGTATAAAGGCGTTAGTGAGAAGGTAACTTACGCGCCGAGACGTTTGTAGAGCTCGAGCGTGAGTGAAGTAGCAGAATGCGGGGCGCTTCGCCCTCGCGGCAGGCGCGTGCCGCACTGGCTCGGGTGGGAGTGCGCGTTCTCGCCAGCACCTGCTGCGGCGCGGTTGCGAAGCTCGAGCGTCTTCTCGCCGCCGAAGGACGGCAGGCGGCCGCGCGTCGGGGTGCGTCTGCACCAGGCCGTCGTCGACGTGTAGAAGTCGGCGCCCGTCGCCTCGCCCAGCAGCGAGCCGCGCTGCCGCCCCACCACGAGGGGACGAGCCGGTTCTGGCGATCTGCAAGCACGCGAGGGGACCGGGGATGAGATGTGGCTGCCAGCCTGACACAACCATAAGCCACACACAATAGCATTTATTTGAACATTAAATTAATATATGTTCTTTAAACCATTTTAATTGAAAATTTTATTATTGATATTTATGATAGCTACACCGCAAGTTAGTTAAAAGCAAGGTTACTAAAAATCAATACAGCACCGACCGCAGTGTTCTTGTAACAATGTTACGCTGACAGCTTGCAATATACTGTATATTCCCAAAAATATTAAACCCACGGCCTCCTTTTTGCTCGCTGATGAAACAAATGCGGTGCGGAATCGAGCAACCTTCGTATCGCGATCGAGGTATCTCTTTTATGCAACATACTACAAGGGGATTTCTTTCAACGTTTCTTAAAGCACACAACGCAACTTATAGAAAAGAAGTTGCAAACTCAGTTCCGTTGTACAGAAAAAAATGTCTACACAGTTTCACGGACAACAGATTAACGGAATTACTTATATAAGCCATTCACGTTTATCATTGTATTAAAACCCCGTTTCTCGGGTTTTGTTTCGTATCGAGTCCAAAGGGAACTGCCACACAAACTCGGAATCGAGGAAACCATTGCAAGGTCAGATCCTTTGGCCATGAAACTGATCTACAGAAATGAAAGTAAGGGCAGCAAAAGCCGTCGACATCAGCATTGTCTTTGAGGACAATCGTCGGTACAGTTCTCATGCCGTCTTTCCTTTATCTCCGCGAAACAACGGCGAGCGAAGGCAACCTCAGGTGAAGGCAGGGCCGGACGCGCCTGATTGAGGATCGGGCCGACCCTGAACTTTTCTCTTTCAAAAACGGCATTAAACTTGTATTAGAAGAGAGAGTAGAGTTCGAATTCATAGGAAGTGAGGTATCTCTTTTTTGTCTATTTTGAACACTGCATAATTGGAACCTACTAACTCTGTATCATCTGCAATAATTATGTTGTGCGAGAAACAGTGACGTTTAAGGCAAAACGAATGGAAAATTAAAGGTCATATAGCAACCACTGATTTTTTATTGTAGGGGGGGAACTGTAGGAAAAACACGTGGGGACAACGCAAACAACACATAAAACATTCATGTCCGAGACGGAATTTGAACCCACGACCCTAGGCAGCTGTGGCCCTCCAGCCTCAGATACCTGGGCTAATCAGGCAGGCAAAACACTAAATTTTGCCAGTCCAATAACTGTCGAGAATTTGCCAATAATGGTAAAAAGGAGTAACGAATGAAACATATACATCATCGACTAATGGCAACACATCAAAACAAAACGATGAGGCTCAAAGAAATACTCGAGTTCTACTTGAAGCAACAACTAGATTCATCCTGTTCAACTCTGGACCAACTACTTGCTTTCGTACCGAGTCGATGTGGACGGGCAACAACGTCATTCATTCTTACGCAGTAGAACTTTCAAGCAAATTCGAAATTCGTTTCCGCCGCACTTCGCTCCTATTTCGCCGGAAGCGGTCTTCGAAAGCGAAGGCGCCCGCCTGCCGTTGCGCAGCGGGGGGTGGGGCGCGGATCTCGTCAGGTGAGGGGGGAGCGATCTCCGCCGCCCTCGGCGCTCTTAGCGATTGAT